AGTTTCCTTTCTGGTAAACGACGTTAATAATCTTGACCACTATACGTTTTGCCGCGAAAGCCCGGGAAGCCGGGAAGTTCGGGATTACGAGACGCGGCTTACGGTCGGCGGGCGCTTCATTTAAATTCGCGTGCACGCGCCCTTTGGCACTTTGCACCCTTGAGCGAAACGCGTGTTCGATCAATACCGGGCTACGACGAAATTCTTAACTACGTTCTCTCCCTCCTACGCCCCCTACCCCCGCGAAAACATATTACTGGCAAAACAAGCGTCTTATTATCTCGCGCGCGCGCGAGGTATGAGCCGGTGTAGCGTTATAGTTAAGCCACCGTTACCATCGCGATGAGTATGCGGAATGCACAAGTCGGAGAGTTATTACCGCGGGTGTTGTATGCCAGTAACTACAAGAGCGATCATAATACTGGAAGTAATGCGAATTTGCTTGACAAGTAGTCGGACGCTCGAGGCTCGCATTCAAAAGTAGTTTCCCCGCAGCGCGGCGGGAGTCGATCCACGTCCTGAAATTTCGCGCGGACTCCGCGCACCGCGAAATGTTTCGTACTTCCGCGGGCCCGTCCGTCCGTTTATGTATGCGATTGGCGCTAATGATGTCCGTCGGAGTGAGCAATTTGCGAAACGGGGATTGTGGTCATCTTTGATCATCGCGGCGCGGGCCGCATCTCTAATGCGCCGATCAATCGAGGATCGATCCCCCCGTCGCGCCGTGCTTTGCATGAGATGGCTACCGGATTCCAAATGTTCCCCCCTTTACCGGTAATGGCTTTGGAAACTTACAGCCATCTTTGGCAACGGTTCCAGCAAATTGCACATATGCATATATAAATGTATACCCGTATGCCAAATAAAACAGATATTCGAGATATCACAGTCACCTTATTTCATTCGCGCGAAACGGATATAATGATATTATAGAGCTTAAGTGTCGTAATATTAATATTTAAATAAACTTTAAAGTTCTTCGGTTCACGGTATGCAAATTCAAGCCGCGCTTGTTGGCGCTGAGAGAATGCACTGGGTATAACAGTTATATACGAAACAATGAAAGCCGCTGCCTGTGACGTAGAATCTGCGAAAACGAAAAAGGGAACGGAATGATTTCAGTTCTTTCCTCGGCGAGAAGCGTGACATAGTCGTACGCCCTCCTCATTGTTTCTTTCCAATTAATGTACTCCCCTTTAACGATCTAGTGGGGACACCCCTTTACAATTAATTATTCTCGAGATATGCTCGTGATTATTAATTAAGTGCAAGCCAGACCCGGAGATGAAGCACCATTACTCGCTACTATCTCTCATCGCGTTCGCCCGAAGGGCTTTCTCGCACGACGTTCCTTTCTGCTACCATTTCTACTCGCTCTTTTACTTTGTGATCTTTTCACTTTCGCTCCCTTCTCGTAGAAAATTAACGCCGATAAGACCGTATTCTGAACGAAACAACTCTATCGCGTAACATAAACACGCTTCGCTTCGCGGGGGGAAAAAAATTTAACGTTAGAAAAATTCAGGTAGAAGCGAAAGAGTAAGAGCCCGGGGTGTGTGACACCGGGAAAATAGAAATAAATGTGAAAGGGCGGAATGTAGCCGGGCGGATTGACCGGATGAAGGTGATCGATGAAAAAGCGCTGGAGAGGACCGCGTGAGTGGCGGGCGGGTCGCTCTTGGAAATGAGTAGTTCTTGGCCTAGTTAATGCCTACGAGGAGACAAGTGACTCGGAGTTGGAGCGATAGTTGGCCGGTTGCTCCTGGCGTATGTGTGTGCATTTGCGTACGTGTGGGTACGTGTGTGTGTGTGCGTGTGTGTGCGTGCGTCTGTAGAAGCGGGGGTAGAGACGTTATTTCGCGGGGTGTCACGCCCTACCCATTAATAATCGTAGCCGCAGCCTCCAGGAGGACTACACGTCGACCCGCCTCTATCCTTCCTATGACACGGAAGTCTGCCTTCGCCTCTTCGGCATCACTGCGCTCCGTCGAGTCTGACCTCTCTCTCTCTCTCTCTCCCTCTCCCTCTCTCGCTCTCTCTCTCGCTCTTTCTCTCCTCATCTCCGCATCCTTACGTCGTCGACGTAAGGCCGGGCGTGAGGAGTTTGCAAAGCTCTCGTCGCAAGATGTAGTTAACAGGCCCGCTCGCTCGCTCGAGCGCACGGCCATGTATAATACGCAGAAGGAATCTCCGGAGGGCGCTTGACAGCTCATTTCGCATCCGCCTTTTTCCACCGTGGCGATTCTTTAGGTCCCGGCTCGGGCCGCCCTCCCGGAGACCGTTGGAAACAGAAGAAACTGATATCTCCCCGGGTCGCCGAGTGTGTGATTAATCGCGTGGTTACGTGGAATATTATACAATTCTCGAGTCGGAGTAGCGCGGATTAAAATTTATCGGCCGGGCTGAAATTGCGCGAAACGACACCAATTAATTTCACTATGCCCCGAGTAAACGGCCGCGGCAATTCGAAATTGAGTTTAGCTCACGGCCCCCCTCGAAATCTGATAGATATGTTCACACCGAAATTACGGGGACATCAAACAAAGTCCTGTGATCGGCTTTGGTGAATTTATGAAGGTCCGAATATCACATTGAGTAAAGTACTTGCACGATGGTGCAACGTGATTAGTGAAGTCAATGAAATTATGCCGAATTTGCACGCTACATTACGCGGTATCGCGTATGTACGTATGCGTGCAGCATATGAGTGATCGGCTGATTAATTCGTAATTAAGCAGAGGTCGAATGGCGAAATACTCTGCATAATCTGTGTCAAATGAATAGATTTTCGCCGATTATGGACCAACTACGCTGAATGTCTCATATTTAAATTAAACGTTCGCGAATTTTAAATTTATTTTTCGTCTTGACGCTATACGCGTCTCGTTACGCGAAATTGAATAAATCTTTCTTTCGACGGTGAGCGATGCAATTTCATTTCTTTGCTGTATATTAACAAAAACATTTTCAATAAGATGAGACGAAATGTCTTAGCCCAGCGAGGATTTGGACGATTCAATTAACGAGACGAAGATCCGGGATTAAGAGCCGGTTTACCGGGGAGGACGCGTAAACAGAGTTGTAAATTTTTCTCCTACCGGGGACGTTTAATTGAATCTTGGGGAGGAGGTAGTCGTTCGTATGACCAGCCGCTGAAACTGCTACGTGGATAGCATGTTTTCGACTTCAGAAAAACTTGGGAATCGATTGTGCCAAACGTTCGATTGTGCCAGGAGGGCGGAGATGAATTATAGAGTTAATTATGGAGCTGGCGGAAGGGAGAGAAAGAAATTGTATATGCGCGGTAGGGATTCGCGAATAACGCGGATATCAAACTACGTAATGTGATTTAGTTGTCAAATACATCTACACGCGTTTAGCGCTGCAACCACATTACGTAATATAATATAACACGTTATAATATCAAGTGTATTAAAACGTGTATTATTATCCTAATTATATTCATAATTAAACACAGTTACAACTGCATCGTCGGATTACGTGTGGAATTGCAGGGAAATTTGCTGCATACGGAGTGCGCACGCATGTAGAAGACCACGTGTATAGTTTAGAATATGCTGTCAATTGGAATACGAGGCTTAAGATTAATCAATGCGTGTTTCAGTTTCTTTTGAGTGTAAATCGTACCGTTGAATCGGTTAAGGTGGAGTAAACGCGGGCTAATCCTTTTCCAATCGTCACGTTTGTTTTATCTGATAAAAGAGAATATTTTTCCGCGATCGCGCGACAAGCGGTTTCGATCGGCCATTTACGAAAATTCGTGCAAACCGCAATTCTTGTCACTTTTAAATGCGACGTCCGGCCGTGAGATTGCGTCGCAATTCGCATTTGATATTTTACCACGGATTTTATGGATGACCGAATTTGCGTTTATATTTTGAATTTTTGGACAATTCAAAAGCCAAATACTGGCGTGGGCAATCAATGTGTGTACCAATCTTTCGGCTTTTATCACGGCACCCGTGACAGAGCAAATAAAAGGATTGAAACGTTATTCCATTTGGCCGTTACGGAATATGTTTCGCTTGTTATAGCGGAGAATAGATTGCTTACAATCTATATATATAAAGAGGGAATGCAAATATTCTTATTTTCACTTTAATTACTTTTAATAGTTAATTTGCCAAACGTAATTTCGGACGCGGGGCAATTGATTGATCGAGTCCCCTCCCATTTTCCTTGTCAATAAATCGTTAATAAGCCGAAACGTTTATGACTGAAACGCATGAATATTAGAGGCCCGTAAGGAAAGTAGGCCAAAAGCAGGAGCAATAAAATCGCAACGACAGCCGAGACCAATGGTTTTCACTCACGAAACAAAAAAGAGAAGTGCAATTTAAAGACAGATAAGAAACGAACAAATGAAACGTTATAATAACAAGACATTTATCGACCGGTTCGAAGTAGAAGTTCGAAGTAGAAATATTGCTCCCGGTTATTAGCGGCGATTTCGCACGTACGATTCATGTACTCCTTTGAAAACCCTCTCTTTTTCATCTCCTTAGAAATCCCTTCGATTACTAAATTTTAAACTGAGAATGCAGTTCGTTTCCTCCGTTGAAAAGATTAAGCTAGTATTACCTTGTCGTGGAATATAGCGAGTGCGTTGTTTTATTTGAAGGACGCCGATTTAATAATGCAAATTTTGCAAACGCTCAGTATCCAGTATCCAGTTTCTCATAAGCCGCCATTCGCATGAAATATAATACTTGTTAGAATACGTGTGTTGGAAAAATAATAGCGGACTTTAATCTGCCGCGTCCCGCTCGCGACGCAATATCAGCGAAATATCGGGGCGCGCGCGGGCGACGATTTTTCCCAAACAATTGAAATATTTTTTCAAAAACTCGACCCGCGGTTTCTCCCTAAAAACACGACACTTGCCAACGCAAATAAAAATATCGAAAGCAAGGGACATGGGGGAAAGGGCAGGCGCGTGTGTGCTGTATTAACGACGTTTACTTTGCCTTCTGTTGCAGGAGAGAATCCAGCTGCCATGCAACACGGCGGTACCACGGCCCCGAGGGCGACCTTTGTCTTTACCGTTGTGATATCACTATCATCGCTCCTAAGGTGACCGTGATGACCCCGGTGCGTTTTGGACCTGCGATCCGAATGGTGCTAATTTTCTCTTTCCCCACGGAGACTCGTGCGCCCGGAACATCCTCTCGAAACGGACGGGAACTTTGGGCATTAGGCCCTCCACCCCTCTCGCGCACGCACGTCACATGCGATCTCGCTGCGAATTACATAGTACGGGTATAGGTATATTCTCACGCGGGACGCAGATACGTCCGTGTGCGCGCGCGGCAACGACGGAGATATCATCCGAATCCGTTTCGATCGGACTTAACTTTTGGACAAGTAAGCTTCGCGCTACGAAGCACCGCGTCTCGGCAGTTTCGTCGCACGGCGAGACGGCGTATATCAGTTTCCACAGAGCATTTCCGAGCATCTCTCCCGAGAAACTTGACTAATCGCTTCCAGCGGCGATCAATGCGGGATTTGCGTGGAGGACGAATAGCGTTCGCGCGCGCTCAGAACGCACGCTGTGAATTTCAGGAAGAGGGATAGAAACTTCGCGTCTCTCCCTCGTATTTGAGCTCTTGGTACTAACGTGTTGACGCTGCATTGTTAATGCGTACGTTATTTACACGTCCGCAATGTTCAAACGCGGATACGTTAATTAAGAGAATTCCGTTCATGTGATATGTAATGCCCGACTATCTATGACATACGTTCGTGGGTGTGCTGGAAGAGAAATAGCCAAGCGATAATTCGATCGATTGCAATCGAAGACGCTCACCTTTTATCGCTTCGTCCGTAAACGAATTTTAAGATTGACGTAGATTCTGTTTGTTACTCGTTTAAGTACCAATTAAATTTCGGGGCACATCGTTTATTGATTTTGCATATCGTTTTTTCGGAGGGTGGAACAACGAAGACCTGCTTATCGATCGAAAGAGACGAATCTCGCGAGGGTAAGTGCGTTATAAAGTTCGAAGATTTGGAATGTATGTATATACTTTTGTATATATATACCTTTATACAATATATATTTGTTGAATTTATATTCTGTCTGTAAACTGTTATGTATTTTTAGAATCGGATTAATTATAAGATTTTCCAAACGACACCGTCCAAGGAATTCGGCACCGACTACCGTGACTATAAATTGGAATTAACTTTGCTTTCAACCGATTTGTATAATTATACAATTACATCTCTCTCTGCCTAGTCCGCGGAGTAATAAAAGTATTGTCACTAAAATTTTGTATAGCTTTGAACTATATAACTCCACGTGTATCTACATATCATCACCCACATTTTCGCTTTGCTTTGTTAAAATACAAATCTTTACACAAAACGAAACTGATCTGTTTACGAAATCAACAAACAATTGACATTTACGTTGTAATTTCGCAAACGAAATTACGCCGCTAATGAAGAATCGCTGAAGCGAAGCATCGATTTTATCGACATAGCGTTATTGTTGCACGATTTTATCTAGACAAAATGTGGAAGCAATATTTTCGAGGCTGGCACTGGCTCAAAGAAATCGACACCTTTGTCGAGCATAAAACTTTGTCGTGTACAAAACGACGATGCATCGCCCGTTGTTCAGTGGTAGTTTTCATGCTCGCGGCGCGAAAAATACGCGATGAACGGGGCCGATGAAGATCTATTCATCGTTCGTCATTCGCTCAAAATACGCTGGACGTTGACGAGCGACAACTAAAATCCGTCAGTTATCCAAAGATTACGTAATTATTGCGGGTGTAATAAATGTTATATTGTGAAAATTTAACATGACCATTTTTCTCTCCCAGTTGTTGAGTATATTTTTATATTTTTGAGTATATTTTATCAGCATGCGAATCGCTCCGGCCGAATAACTCTACAGAAGGATTTATGCTTTTACACTCGTATATAACTGTTACACATTTTATTTTACAATTTTCTTTAGAAAATGCAGTGCGGGATGTACACAATTCTATATACATTAAATTGAAGTAACATTATTATTTATATATAAAATCACTAGAGTTATACGAATTATTAGATTTTGAAACACATTTTTCGTTTATTTCATTTTGTGTTACATCTTGTACGAATGCAAATAACATAATTTATCAGTCACTTGAAAGGCGACAAAATTTTTTCTATACGCATATTACGGAAATAATCTGTGCAATCTTATAAGAACGGATAACTAACTCAATTTATAACATTTTATTGCCACGCGAGTGGCTTTCAATCCACGTCATATCCTCTAAATTATATTTTGAATCGATCAAATTGATTTGCACGAAATACCACTGGAAATTGAGTGAAACAACTGGGGAGGTAGCGTGCGAAGACGTACGCTAAATTCATAAACCTCGTGTGAAATCTAATAGCGTTTGCGTTTCGGTAAGCGCGCAAATAGCGTTTGCATTTTCGAAATTTTACAGCACGATACGGCGGTAAGTATACGATTGCGCGAGGGATGTAATGCAGATTGCCCGGGCGGAAACTGCAGTGTGCAGGGTCGGGACGCGTGGCACCGTAAAAGCGCGACAAGTCGGACAAGGATCGATCGGGCAACAAATTACCGATCGCGCCGATGGAAAATGAACCGTTAAGCAGCCCTACCTGACAATGACGTACGGTTAGTTTGGCGTAAATCAGTAGTTTCCACTCGCGGCAATGCCCCCGTTCGCCGGCTGTAATGTGATAATTTAACAGAGGCATTATTGCACGAGCAGGTGCAAAATATTTCAACGAGGCGCGTGCGGCCGCGCGCGCGATCCGTTACGCAAAAGCCACATCCGCGCGTAACCAGCGCCCGCGATAAATTTAATTATTATTTCGAGCGAGAGGTAGAGCCCCGAATCCCAAAGCGGGTATCGGGATACGCATTGAATCGTAACGACATCCGAGCGTTTCGCGGGCAAAACTTTCCATTCGGTCCCGCGGTTCTTCAGTTTATCGCCGGCTTCTTTCGTCGCCGTTCCGCTATCTCTTAATGGAAGTTTCGCAGACTAAGTCGTCCGTTCTGCTCCCTTGTTTCTGCACGGGCGTTCAGACGGTCTTAAATCCGCGAGAGCCCAATTATGCGAATTAATGTCAAGCGCGCAAACTACGACTGACAGTTTTATAACTACGTCGACGGCGCAAACGTAGATTTTACACGCCAACTATTCGCTGTCGCTCGCCGACAGGCAACACGACCGAATGTCATCAGTTTCGATTGTTTGCTTGTTTTGCGTTTGTTCGCGCGCGGGATTCATTTCCGAAGAATATGAGAGAAAGCTTTTAGCTGCAATATCGCTTCGCAGCGTATATCGTTTAATTCTTAGAAAAAATTTAGCAGCTTAAATCGCCCTTTTGTCTAACAACAATTTTTCTTCAATTTCTCGTTTAGTTATTAATAGTGAAATGATAAATGTTAAATATAACTGTAGTGTTAAGCTTAAAACCAAATGCCTCGCATTAGTTTCCAAACGAGCCCCGAAGATATTGCATCTTATTGAAATAACCGTAAAATAATTATTGAAATAACCGTAATAGACCATGGTCATTTCTATCTATTGGTGATATTTCAACTGTTAAAAGTTATCGTTTAAATAAGTTATACATCGGTAGAAAATATGTAACGATTGAGAAACACTTATTTCAACGATGTCGCATAATTATTTATCAATTATCACGTAGGCTTCATATGCGAACGATATATAATTGGTAGGTTTTGATATCGAGGCAAATTTATACTTATCTGCTTATCTGCACACACCGACTTTTAATAGTCTTCGCTCAGAACAATTCTGCGTTTGGTCCCGCTAATCTCGGGGAGATTATCTCTAATTAAAAGTGGCCCTCCGGAATAAGCATTGTTTCGTTTTTAATATTTTCTCTTTTGTTTTTCCACGCCCGGCCAGGTATGGCCAGCCATTGTCCACTGTGCGACGATTACCGCTCGCGCGAAAGTCTCTGGATAATATCATACGTTGGGGCGTTGTGTATACGTCTGTGCACGAGATTGCGAGCGAAATAATCTACGTGTGTTCGATAATGTAATTCGAAATTAGAAGTTAAGCCGCGGGCAGCTGTATAATTTCTGAACGGTGGGAAGGACGTGCGAAAGTGTGGTGTATGTACGCCGCGTCATGCCGCGTGAATTCGCGCGTGCATGCGCGTGTTCTCCAATATATTCTATCATCATTAATCATATTTCATCGCCATGCATCCATACTAATGTATCCCCACGATAACGGTTAAAGCAAGTCTGTAAGCACATCTGTACGTTATTGGTACTACTATATCATTATTAATGCGATTAAAGCGAACGAACCCATGATGCCCAGTCCATCAGCAAACGCAGAGAAAGAGAGAGAGAGAGAGAGAGAGAGAGAGAGAGAGAGAGAGAGAGAGAGAGAAAAATAGGAAACTCATTCAATGTCGGTATTCACTGTTCATTATTTATAAAGACTCGAACGCAGGATACAATAAAATGTATAGTACTTAATCACAAGTATTTACTCATTCCTCCTTCTCGTCACGGCGATAACGTTTTTCATACAATAATAAAGGAGTATTGTATGCTCCGCGTCCCGGCATTTAAATAGCTAATTGGCTCGAGTTCTTTCCGTCGTACGCATTAATTCCGTTATGAAGAATTTGATGAACTTTTATTAATTTAAATTATGTCCGAGGGCCCGCGCTATAAAGGGAAGGGAGGGGGAAAAAAAACCCGCCGGGAGAGCATTACTTAGCATCCATTACGAGGAGATATCCCATTAATTCAACTCTATTGCATTCTTTATAGCCACTTTATTCGTCGAAAAGAGAAACTGCCCGACGCAGGCCGAGATGGCCTTTTTAATGAACTTTTAATTGTCATTGGCATGATTACGGGAATCGATACCACGCCGGAACGTGATCTCTCGATATTCATTAATTTTCTCTACATTTAAGTTATTATTCCCGCACCCTCCCGTATCCCCTCTCGCCCCTAAAAAGCAAAACGATTATCCCCTTCGACGTGTTGGTCGAGAAGACTTATTCGAGGGTTTCATGGCGGTCTGGGGAAGCGACACAATGATAAACTCACTGGACGAGTCGAGCCACGATAAAAGCCGCCGGAAGAGGCTTCGCTGGAGTGCCGAGTGCCCGACGAAAAATTGAAAAAAACGAAGCTCGTGCGCGCGCGCGCGCGCGCGAGAGAGAACTGGCAGAAAAAAGAACACCCTCCCTCGCCACCCCATTGCCATACCCCGGGTAGACTGGATGCGTTAAGCGTCGCGGTTTTTAAAAGCTCCCTTTTCAGCAATACACTGTCCTGGAAAAATACTAAATCAGAACGTTGGCACTGACGTTTGCCGTGTGAATGAGAGAAAGAAGGAGAGAGAGATACAAAGTGCGGACAGATGTAAAGTATATTCTCACCGTTGTTGACGTAACGTCGCGCATGAGGGCGTTTCGAATAGGCAAGTTATTTTGTCGCCCGTAATTTCTTTTCGCGCGACGTACCTCTCTCTCTTCCCCTTCTTTACACCGTAGGGATTACATTGCAGGACGTAAGCAATACCCGGTGTTAAAAATATGCATAATAAATCACCGTGAAGAAACAATCGACTTTAAATTCATGGGAAACACGCGGCGAGCTTAAAAATCCATTAAAATACTCTCGAACGGTATCTTTGCAGAAATAAGAGGGCAGCGTAATTGTACGTAAAATAATCACAATTTAGAGACGCGCAGTACCGTTAAACACGCCTCTCGCCCCTTTGTCAACGTTTGCGGCGCGCACTACCCTTGATCAAGGGAAATATCACCGTTGCGATACAGGTATTCCTAAAACAGCGCCGGCGAAACAAACCGCTTTATTTCGGGATAGCTCTCCACCGTGCTGTTGCATACTTCCTCGTGCCTCCATTGTGTCCTACCGCTCGCATGAGCAGCGTTTCTCTTTTTGCGAGGTGGCAGAGCAGAGAAAGACATAAACCCTTTGTCATAATTTCGTGCTGCGGCGGCACGTAGTGGATGCGCGACACGTGGAATCTTCTAGCGCATACCGTCGGTATGAGCTATGTATCATCTCGACGCAGTCAAGTTGCGGATGCTCGAAAAAAGAACGCAGACAGTGCGCAACGCTGTACGGCTAACGCCCATAAAAAATCACGCCGGCCAGACATTTCTGGTTGCGATTGTTCCTGTACCTTTGTACCGCGGCGGGTAGTATTGATGGATTAAGGGGATCCTAAAGCCGCTGGCGAACTCGATCAGTGTCGATAAGAAACGTCAATTATCGACATTTTTTTATTTCAAGTTCTATTGTACTTTAGATGTCACCTCAGACCGGCGTTTTCGGCAGCATGCAGTAAAGAAAACGTTGGATGGCAGCCCGCCGGTATTGCATCCTTAGCGCAAGCTGAATGATAATATTATTAGCTGCACATCGCTCAGACCGACATTTTGGATCGAATTCTAGCATCGTTGACACCATGGCTTTACTGACAACCTGACAGATGTTTGGCAGCGACCTCTCTCGAAAAAGCCTGCTGCTCTTTCTCTTCTTCTAGACTTGGATTTCTGAACTTGCGTTTATTAGAAGTAATGTTTTTTCTAGGCTATTAATTTTAGTTCTAATTACACGATATTGTTCTTATATGTTGTCCCTAGAGTATGCTGGTCTCATTTTGCATATATTTATTGTAGAATTCTTGTATCAAGCAAATATTGTCGTCAAGTGTACCAAATATTAGTAAAAATTTTATTTTTTTTTTCATTTTTGATATAAAGTCGACCAGCATAGTCTAGATTTTACTGCGTATTTTAATTCCGTAAATGAATTTTGCATTTCTGTAATGTCAATTAAAAGATTACTTCTAACAAAGAATGTCGATAAAACAGACGGCTTTAGGATCCCCTTAATAATCTCGTTGCACGTCACGTGTATTAAAAAAAAGAAAACGGACGTTTCATCGAAGATGTCCGCGAACCGGTCGCGAATTCAGACACGCAAAGCGTCGCATCGGAGAGGCGTCTATGAGAACTTGAGGATGATGAGACGGACGACCAACGCAAGAACGGGTTCGCGTTACGTCAGTACGCATCGTGTACAGATACATGGTGTATGCACATACAGGGCTTACGTACAAAGCTAAATGCGTATTGGCAGTCACCACGTTGCCTGTCGGCCTTGTGTACGTACCATTACAATGTATGTGGCTTGGCCGGGTCAACACGCCGACAGAGAACGTCCATTACTTCATCAAACCCCGGCCATCGTCGACAGATCCGTCCACCGCCAATTTGCCAACAATCGCGACACTCAGTCAGTATAAACAGTTTGGCTCTTTGACTATGGTAAGTGGGATAGCTTCCAAGCAGGGAGGACATACGCAGTTCAACACCACGCAAGTGATTTAATTTTAGATAGCGGAGTCCTCTTTTGCTAATTATTTCGTAAAGGGTAACGCGAGTACGCTGCGCATTGCGGTTGACGTAATAATGAAAAAGCCAGGGGATTTTGAGTACAATGCAAGCCATTTTTTTCGAACTTGTAATCTCAACACTAAATCGTAGAAACGGTATCGCGATGTTTCGGTACGAGGATCTATCTATACGTGCAATCAGGCATGGGATATTATTGCAGCTTGCTGATTTGTATCTCTTACAGGATTGAGAGTATGGAAAGACGATGCGGTTGCTGGCACGGACGTCCGGTGTACCTTTGGCTTAATTGTAGCGTTTAATCGCGACGGGCGCGTCCCTCGATTAATTATTTAAACCCCCTTAGGCTAACGTTGAATTAATGGATGCGGTTCCGCAGTGGTACCGCGATATCGATAATTCTGCAATTCCGCGAGACCCCCTATTAGACCATCGAGTCCGTGCCAGGAACACGTGCCTAATATACATAACTCGTTTGTACATCTCTTTACGATTACGCTGTTATTGCCACTGCTATTGACGGCTTGTTTTCTCGGCAAACCTTCTCGACGAAACGGATAGCACAGGATTTAGGTAATCGAGCTGGAATACCGAAGGTCGGATTTTCCGCGAGAATGTTTCTCTTCAAAATCATCTTCAACTGGAACGATAACACGGTTTACTTTTACGGATTTTTTTTTTAATCTTCCGGAATACCACCGTGATTTAAAAATAGCGACGGATATTTTTAACGTCAACTTTTCTTGCTAATGAGATTGAATGAGGACGATTACGACCCTTCGAAATAGTCGATGTCGTTTGCCGTCTTCCAATTTTTACTCCCGTTTAAGTATAAATGGTACGGTAATAACCAAAAATGTTCACGATTTTTAGGGCAGTTTGGAAAAGGTGACGACAGAGCGCAAAATATCGCGACATTACAGAACATTGGCGTCCACGAGCGTGTCCCAGATACTTCAATTATCTGTTCTTGGCGTAGTCAACTTACACAACACGTAGAACTTTTGTCAAATAAACTGCGAAACGGGACAGTATTTTCGACGCAATCAGATTTACATCTGATCAAACGTGAATAATAATCATTTTCTTCGCCAGTAATTAAATAGCAGACAAATAATACGGTTCGACCAGACCTGGCAATAATCAAATTAGAAGAAATTTATTGAAGAAAAATATATTATACAACTGACTGACCGATCACACGGAAAAAGAACTGCTGTTGAATTTAAAATAATAAAGTTGCTTGAATTAAGCGTCAACGTCACGGGCTGCCACAAGCATAAATGATTCACTCAATTGTATTTGCTATGGATTTAATTTTAAGCATGGAACTAAATCTTCAGATATTATTAAGACGACTAAGTATCTGATGTTTCTCGTTCATTAATACTGATGTCGTTTCAACGATTTAAAAAACAAGGAGTTGCTTGAATTACACGTTAACGTCACGGGCTGCTACAAGCATAACTGATTCACTCAATTGTATTTGATTATTCATATAAAAATATCCAGACAAATTATTAAGACAACTATCTGATGTTTCTCATTCAGTAATACTGATGTTGTTTCAATGATTTAATTTCAATTATACTGATCTTGTTGATACATCATTTTTTCCGTGTAGGAATTGACTGTAAGTTATTTTAAGGGTCAATTTTAAAAAGAATCGTGCACGCGTTCGAACATTACACCGGAATATCCGGTAATCAAGGGACAAAGCACTATCATGATTTCCTCGTGGTGTCGGAGATGCAGCGAGTCGGGGCGAGTCGAACTGAGCTGAACGAGCCAATCGTTCTCCTTCCATTTGCAAATTAAACGGTCACGTTCTTGATTTCAATTCTACGGGAGGCGATTCCCCCCCGAGTTTCCAATGTAACTTGTCTTAAACTCGGCGACCAGCCGTTTAATCTTAATCGATCTACCGCCTTATCGCGCGGCCGATGTATATCAACATTTTTCCATTTCCACCGCTGACATCTCCATCGACTTTCCCACCACTTTCGCCTCTATCTCGTTCATCCGCGCCGTCCTTCCTCCCTTTATCCCCGCCGTTCCCTTTCTATTCTACCACTCCCCCGTTATTCCGGCCGTCGATTTCTTTCCGGTCCTTCTCGCCCCGTTTTTCCGTTACCGCTTTCCCGCAGCTCTGGTGCGATTTCTTACAGATTCCGCAACTATTCCCGCTCGAAAGCGGGCGCGTCCCCTTAGCCGCCTCGAAGTCTTATCTTAATGGCTCGCCTTGGCAATCGAAAGTTTAGTTATTATCGCGGGCCGTTGTCGCCCCGCTTCGCGAACTCCACGCTGGATCGCGCGGAAGCATTTTAGGTGGAAGATAGAGACTGTGGAAATTACCGGTTTGACACGTACGCATGATTACGGGCGAGAACTTACAGTCGCGGACGACCGTCGTGCGACTGTAGCTCAGATCATTTCAAGCATGAAGAACGTCATTCTGATTTCTGCGTATAATTCGAAAAACGGTGACGATGTAAACTACGAAACTTTCAATTGATTGTTCCTTCGATTAATCGCGTCGTTATAATTATAAGTTATCTCGTTTACTCCAAGCCTTTATTGGAGACGTTTCAGTGATCTTTCCATCCCGTCATTAACGAGACCAGACCGTACACAATTATAATCGCTTCTCTTGCGAATGTGCGACTCCTTCAGTCTCTCCAAACAGGCGGTAATGAAATGTTTCCAGTGTTACCGCAACGAGAATACCGTAGATATCCGCTAGTACTAATGTCAACTCATTAAGAACGTCTCATTACTAGCGGTAACCGGGTCAATTACTCATAAGTTCACTCCCAGTGCTCAAGACGCCACTATGTGATTCTCAAGATATGCAATATATATTTAATTGCTATTAAGTTTAACGTATTTCTGACAAAAATACACGATATTGTAAGATAAATGGAATTGAAACTATTTTCCCTATTAATAAAGTCCTACAGTCTTTCTTTTAATAAGAGAAGATCGCGTGCGTACTTCGGATAAAACTGTCTTCATTGCGGCACGATAAAGTTTTAGGTTACTGTATCTAAAAAAAAGAACAATGCGGAGGTTACAGTTATCATAAGTTGTAAAACATGAGTATAAAACGCGCAATAAATATTGAGCCTGCTGGTCGCCGCTATGGAAAAATTGATATCGAACGAGTGGGTAATGTACATATATAAAGTCGAGCGATAAAACACGCCTCCGTGTGTTTCTGGGAGTCTCACAAAAAGTCCTTTTAGGTTTCTTTAGCGATCCGTCACCGGGTCCCTTTGATATTTATCGCGAGCCTATAAAATTTCGTGAAAATGTTGCCAAGGGGCGGCAGATTCTCGGTGCACCTCCTAATCAATTATTCGAAAAGAGATATGAGCGAATTTTTGAAGGCGAGGCACTCACGGAGCCATGGCGCGACGAGGCGCAGCAACGGGTATGTATTTATAATATGGGAAACTATGGGAAATCGATACTTGATCATTTATTGAAAATAAAACGCTAAGAAACTGAAAGTTTGTGCGTAGGGCCCGATACTGTATCAATTAAGATTTAAACTTTAATTAAATCCCTGTCAGAGGGATTTATACCGTCCCTTGGAGAGAATATCGTTTAATAAAGTTTAATTATAATTTTTTTTAATGTGCGCGCGGCTAGCGCTGATGCGCTGATCTAACCAAAACTGTTCGGTTCATCAGTTGTGCTTGAAAATCAAATTTTTTACTTCCAACGTTAATTGCATTAATACAATTTGCTTATCGCGTGGTTTTTAATAAGAACGCCACAGGGAGAAGGGACGAAATCTTTGTGGCTTTGGTATACGTCGAGTAAGTTTCCGATGTATGTATTTCAGATAAAAGATGAGAAGAGGAAGATTGGCGGTCACATGCTACCGACATCTCCATCGAAGAAGCACTCGTCGCCCGGAGACTGGTACGGATGCTTTACTAAATCTTCTTACTTCAGTCCGCAGCTGAAAGTAGAAGCGAGAAAAAAGACGCCGGTTCCACCTAATATGAAGATCAAGCCCAATCCGCTTGGTGGCCCAGGATACGCGGATATTTGCTTGAGTCCTTATCCATCGTACTCCCACGAGCCTTACGATCGCATCGGAAGAGTTGGTAAAAGTAAGTGCATCTCCGTCATGCCACCTCCGATCTGATCTCCACTTCCTCGAACAACTCTCGATAAACTCGAATGCATAATTCTTAGTAAAAATGCTAAAATTTTTTAGCCTTACATTGGAGGTAGATGCCTTTAAGATGGCTGCAAAAAAGCTAAATGTTCTTACATTTTCTCATATTGGAAACAGAGCGAAGTCTTGCTCATTCGTAACTGGCGATAAAGATTTATGTTAGAACGAGTTTACTTCGATGTTGAGTTGAATATAATGAGAACAGAAGTCACATGTATTCGCGCTGTTGCTCGAGCGAATTTCTTTCTCCATTTTCGCACTTTATTGCATACATTATAAGGCACTCTGGAATCTATAATTCTTTCACGAAATATTTTGCAGATTGTATCGAAAAACTTGATAAATCCGGCCGTACACATCGCGTTTTCATTCTGACCATTTCTCGTTTCTTCTTTATTATTTGTGCAATTTCCAAGTTGCGACTAATGCGATTCTCTCTCTTAGAGAATTATATAAATTAAATATTTATATTTTTAACTGAAAAAATTATTTTTGGATAATATATGTATATGCATATAAAAAACCAGCAGCGAATACCACTAGCGTGTATATTGATAACAATATAAAATTTTTCTGTCAATTTTTACACAGCCAATAAAATTGCCAATTAAAAGTATGTTATAAAATTTCTATTGTTTTTTAAACTTTTCTTTAATTATCTTACACATATACGTGTATAATGTACGTACATACATATATAACATAACGTGAGAATTCCCCCAATTAAAGTAAAAAAGTAATAATGAGAGAATGGGGAACATATATAAAGGTACATTTTACAAGGCAGCACGTAATTAATTATAGTTTTAGCATAAAAAAAAGAATTACGCTGGCTTCTAAGGGAAACACATTTTTAACGTTTACATAAAACCTTGAAAAAAAAACGTTTGGCAACAATTACATAAAATCTCAATTGGAGTATCATAAATGTTTGAAATTCTTCTCATAATCTTAGAAGTCCATCGCGTTAAAAACTTCTATAGATTCTCTGTAGACGTGGCAATTTCTCTCAATTTACTCTTATGTACAAAGATTTTTACAGGAGATTTTTAATAAATTTAACTGCGTAAATTACATGCGTATTAAATTTCCGACAGTTTCATGCGTTTAGTAAAATTCGTTTTTCCAACTGTCGCTTACGGTTTTTCCTTTTTGTTAAATTTATATTCTAAGTGTAAATCATTACTTTGGCGAAACAGAAGTGGTGTCTGAAGGCCGATTCTTGACGACTAGTACGCCGTTGGATTATTTCCCTCCAAATCCTTACGAGGATGAGGAACCAGGGCCCACTTATGTCCGTCCGGTCGAGATTGCAAGGAAGACACTCGGTACGGCGCGATTCTACGTCCCTTTCCCCAAGAAACCCGGCGGAAGTCACGATGGTTGCTTCAGCAAGTTTCCAGAGTACACGGGCGATCCTTATGTTAAAGCTAAGGCTAAAGCTGCCGTTGAGTCCAAGTTTATAAGCGGCGGACCATTTCTACGTTCGAAATATACGAACAGTATTATCGCGCAGATAACGAAAATATCGTGCAACGCTCGCAATTATTCGGAATATCGAGAACGCGCGTATCCTGTGCATTGAGAAAATCTTTTTAATTGCATGGAAATTGAATTCTCAAACTTCTCTTTTTTTTCACTATTAGGAAGAAACCTCCTTCCGTAATTATCAGTCATACTAAAATTAATTAAAAATAATTAGATTTGACGTTTCTCCCTCTTATCTTTTATTCCGGATACTTTATATGCAGCCGTTGCGCTTGTACAATGTCGTTTAAGTAAATTACTTGTGAGGAAATTAAGAATTAGAAAGAGCGAATCAAACAGTTACCATACTGAAACTGTGCATATTCATTAAAGTCCATTTAAAAACTTCAAATTGATAAACTAGATTTCGACCTAATTTAATCCTAAATCCTGTGGAACTTACAGAAGGCTTTGGAATGTATTTCTATTTTATCGCGTCCGCAATGCATGCGATTTCGTACTGGCGAAGCCATCACCTTCCGCTATCGCGCTTCCGTCCCTACCATGTTGAGCCGACAAATCGCTTTTCAGCAATGGCCAGTGGCCAAGTACAGCTGCAACAACATTCGAACGGTAGCCGAGCCCTTTCAAAGCGAATCACCCTGACACGTTCGATCTTACGGCTCTAATGAAATTCTAACGAATGTTGCACCGCCATCGGAGCCGTAAGAGTTCACTCTCGGCGATCGCCATTAAATATTTCCGACGAGTATCATGTATTCCGCACGACAAGACCATTAGGCCGACAGCAGGTGGAAGCCGCAGAAAAGACTGGCAGGAACAAGGGATGCACTTCGTATTTGACTAGGAATAAGCAAGGGAGTGTAATTAACGGGATCTTTTTTACGTGTAATTAAAAAAGCACTTTTTCTTATCAGGATAATGCTAACATTTGATCAAACTCGACCGAATCGACATGTATAATATTAGGCGCTAAAGGGATACAGCTCTTGAATCGTGAGTGTATCTTTTACCAAGCCGTCAGCGTGCAAAGAACGGTCTTACTACAGGAGAAGAGCCATCGCGTGCAACAAGTTTTAGAAGTTTATTATTTCATGTAAAAGTCAGAATATATAAAGGACGTTTCGATTATAGCTTACGATACATGTTTCCGCAATAAAGACAAGACAGAAGGTGAATTTTTCTGGCACAAATGAACTTAGTATCTTACGTTAGTGTCTTGCGCAAAGTCTCGCGCGCCGCCACGTCAGGAGGTGCTATGTATAGAAATGCAATAAGCGTTTCCGCCTCTGAAAAATTTTCTCCTGGAGCACGTGGCAGACAAGAAATGGCAGCGGGTGGGTATGATTCCACGAGATTTATTCCGCGGTTGAAGCCGACCATTTCTCCGTGCCGTGTCGTTGCGCCGGTATTAAACATTCCAGGCATTGCGATGCCTCTCCAATACTCACTGGTCCACGTAGAAACGTAGGAGCATTGTACAAGACTCGGCTCGAAGCAGTTGTACAACTACATCCACGCGATATACACCTCGATATGTATTTGTGTATGTGTGTGTGTATATATATATATAATATTTATATACACACATACACACACACATCATATGTACACTTCATGTTCGTCGTCATGGCCTACACGATTTTTGAGACATTTGGGACAGTCTAAGAAAAAAGGTTGTAGAGAAGACATTTCTCTGTTTTACACGCAAGCTACAACTTGCAACCTAAATCAATTGAAAATCTTTTTTTAGTGAAAAATTCGAGAGCATTTTTAAAACAATATGATTTGTTTCATAATGAAGTACATAAGAAAAATTTAATGCATTACTGTAAATGTTATTTGTATTGATATTTAATGTTAAATTTGCAGCGCTTAAAACAAATACAAAAACATGACGCCAATTAATAGTACTCAAGATTCTCGAAGAAGAATAAATTACATATTATGCAACTTTGAATCTAAATAATGTAATAACTGTTACACTTATTGTTAGTAATATTATATATAACATCTTGAAAAGAGCACAACTTTGTATTGCGGAGAAAGGCACGCAATTTGAATATTTGCTAATAAAAGTTATAATCCTTCTTTATTGTTATAAAGAAAAGTAATATTTTAGTGCATTCATGCAGTTAAATTCATCTTAATGTTTCTAAAATATTACTTTAAAAAATGATACTGAAAAGTTAAAGTGATCTTGATTTTCTTGAAAAATTTTTTTCAATTTTTTTATACTGCAAGTTATAACTGAAACAAATAGATATTTTTTACAATTTTTTTTTTAATTGTCGCAAAAATTGTGCGGATCGTTACAATTCTATATATAGACATATATATACATATATATGTGTGTATGTGTGTGTGTGTGTGGTATGTGTGTATTGCATATATCAACACGTACCCGTTTACGAAATAGCAGAAGAAACGTCGGAAAACGAGGGGCAGTATTTTAATGAAGCAAGATATGTGGCTTATATTCGTAAATGTAGACTTCAATTTGAAACCGTTATGATAATAAGAAGGTAATAAGTAATCAATCAATAATAATTAATCAATATGAAATCAAATATGTAATTTTTCAAATGCATACCATATTTTGACGCGATACATTTTACTCACAATTTGAATTACATTAATTACACCAATATTACTTCGAGATTTATAAGGATTGCAGGAAACATCCGTTTTTGCTATTATCCTCGGTAATTACTTTCTCATGAAAATAACTGCAAGATTCCACAAAGTATTCGACAGCTTTTTAATTAGCAGGCACAGATTGCAGATTGCAACAAAATGCGCGTATCAGCATTCATCGGGGGCTTCATTTAATCATTATCGGAAGCGGATAATTATGCCGCCGTCGTTCGGTTATGTATAAGGCCTTATCATTAAGAGGTCAACGAGATTAAAACGATACTCTTCTTTCTGCGCACGAAGCCTGGCAGACATCTTTATCTCGGTGTCCGCTGAGGAAAAACGGGAAACGTGATTTGATTTAGTGTAGAGAAAAGTCGTGGCACAATTCGCACACCGTGATTCTTATTTCTACACGGGATTCTACATGGAATCACATATATCTATATTTCTACACACATATATAAACTCGGAAAAATTATATGCTATATCGAATGCACTGTAAATAACGTGGCCGTAGCCGCTCCTAAGATTTATCTTCATATGATTTCAACGCTTCGATGTCCGATAATTAAAGAGCGGCGATCATACAATAGATATTCATATTTTAAACCACAGCGAGCCTTTGTTAAAGAGTACGGTCACCGAATTTTCATACATTAATATAAAATATACAGAGTTACAAATTTTCGCTACGCGTGTATCCAGGAGGTATTTCATATGGAGATTTTGTCATGGCAATATGCTAATACGAATAAATTGGTCTACAAGGGACGATTTTGCAGACGATCGTAGAAGGAATCGCCGTATTTATGCCAATTGATATTTTACTCTTGTAATAATTAGATGCGACGCATCTAATGCGAGACGTTCATATTATTTTTATCCCTTTGCGATAATTTGCGACTCTTAGCGTTCTCATATCTGATTTCCCATTTATTGATTGAGATATGGTAGATGAGACGGCATGGTACCAAGAGACGTGGAAAAGTAATAAACTACAAAAAAGAAAAGAAAAAGATACTAAAGGTATGCGCAAAGAGAGAAATCGACGATGGAGTTCGACGACAATTCTGTAATGGGTAAAAACGGGGAGAAACGGCGAAAAAAGGGTAAGAATAAGGAGAAGGGCTGCCGCGATAGTCGGCCGAGGAACGGTTCGGTTTTGCCGGCTTGGTAAAGAGACGAAGAAGGGAACCACGCACGGAATGAAGGAGATAGAATGCATACCTGCGCACGGATGTTTGGGCGAGGAGGAGGATGCCGAAGAGATGGGAAGCTTTAGGAATGGAAGTAGGGAGGAAGGCACGGCCGTATGCGAGTGAGCTTTCAGCGCGAAAGCTGCCGTAAAGCCGGCCGTTTCAACGAATGTTAGGAATATCTATCTCCACGAGCTAAATCCAGCATACACATTGTAAGAATAGGTTGAATAGGGATCGCTGGGTGGGTCTAAAGAATATCGAATACCGCGTGCTACATATTCCTCCGACGCGCGCTGATCTTGAGAGCAGAGGAGCAATTTCTCTCTTCTCTCCCCCCCCCATCTCTCCCTCTCTCTCTCTTTCTCTCATCCGTTTATATAATATCGCCTTGCTGCACTTTCGAACTTCTGATCCACCCACGCGGATCCGGGGTTCGGTATCGCCGAATCGGTGTCGTGTCTTTTCGAAGTCAAAAGCCTAGGTGAGAAGCGGTTTTATCGCGCGTTTGATGGGACCCATTGAAAGCGGATACCACCGTTCGACGACCGATCGACCTGCGAGACCGATACGGCTCCATGCTTTTATCGTGGAGCTTGTCGCGAAGACGATCTTTAGCACCTGCGTCTCTCGTTTTGCTCTTCCCACGAGGTTTATTATTTAGATACGTTTATTACTTGGATCACGTTGATGGTAGGGAATGCACGAAGAACGAAAGGAATACGCAAGCACGAGATTACGCGTTACGATTAGGCTTCGGTGCGACTGCGTGACCGATCGTCTGTTACTGACACGTCTATCATTCGTTCTCAATTCTTGCACCGGCGTATTTTCAATTTATGAAGGAAGTTTAGACAGCTGTCTTATACCTGCGCTACAAAACAAAGTGTGAACTCATCGATCTCCTTGCATAGACGTTCGACCTGCCGCGATGCGCGATTAGGAAGTTTGCAAGCGAGCCTGCTCGAAATTTCGACGATAGTCACGGTGGGCACGTCAGCCGTAAATCGTCGTTACCGAAATTGGAACGCGTTTTCACGCGGTCACAGAACGGGACAAAGTGGGTTAGATGGCAAAGCCTCTCTGTTCCTCTCGATACAACGATATCCTACCAGAGTACGAAAAAGTTTATTATACACACACATACGCGTACACATACATATTACATATGTGTGTACGTATTGCTGCTCCGTGCTTTATATGCCTTTAATCTCCCGTTTCTTTATCGCCGAAAGCCGCGAATTAATACATTAATTTCTCG